TTCAGCTGTCGCTTGAAAATTGTCAGGGATTCAGCATTCCGGATGCTGAATCCCTGCGGGATGAAGCTAAGTAAACTGCGGCTCTGTGTAATAAATGCTGCTCCACCTGAAAGCATGTGAAAATACCACATTTAATAACATGTTTTTACTCCAAACTCACTTCATAATGTCAGTCGAGTGTTTGAAATAAATCCTTCTGAGAGATGATGTGGCTTCTTACACAGAATAAGGCATGCAACATATTTCATAGTATTCTAAGCAGTGATAAAGGCTATGTCGATTAGCATTGCATTATTATATACTTTATTATAATAAAAATTATAAGACGAACTTGGATAAACCATATATTTTGTCGTAGTCGTGTGTTTATTAGTCACTTTGAATGAATGAAAGCAGTTAAATCTGTTTATTCAGCAACGGCTATAGGTATTTCCTGGGTTTCTTCGGCGAGGCGTATTTGGGGATTTCCTGAATTTCTTCTGCGGGGCGTATTTGAAGTTTTTCGCGCGAGAGCGCCCTCTGGCCTTTGGATGGAGATTTACTGCTGATCACAGAACCGTGGTTCGCTGTACGATACGCATGACAATCGCAGCCTCTGCCTAATCGCGATTTATCGTCTTTGCGATTTAATTTCGATTAATCGTGCAGCCCTACTTCTGCTTGTCCACTCACCTTTTGAAGACTGACCACAGGCTCTCTATGGGATTGAGATCCGGGGAGTTGCCCGGCCACGGATTCAAAATTTCAATGTAATGATCTTCGAGCCACTTCTTTATCACTCTTGCTTTGTGACATGTTGCTCCATCATGCTGGAAAATGCACGGATCATCACCAAATGGCTCATGGATCGTTGGAAGAAGTCACTCTTGCAGGACGTTTTGAGACCATTCTTTATTCCCGGCAGAGTTTTTGGGCAGAATTATGAGAGAGTCCACTCCCTTGGTTCTAGAAACAATGTGAATGAACACCACAACAGCTTAAGCAGCAAACTTTGCAAAACACAAAATGTATGTCACTGCCAAAACTTTTGGCCATGACTGTATGGTTTTAGTTTAGTTAACGATAACAACCCTGCACAGAAGAATATATTTTGAAAAATACCTTGGTGTTTTTTGAATCCAATCAAACAGTCAATGGGATCAAATTAATACAGACAAAACATTCTTCAAAATATCTTGTTTTTGTTTTCCACAGAAGAAAGTCATACAGGTTTGGAACAACATGAGGGTAAATAAAATGATGACAGAATTGTCTTTTTTTTGGGGTGGGTGAACTCTCCCTTGAAGTCACCAACTGTAAAGCTGTGTCATCTTGCATTGATTTAAAGTCCTCTTACCCGAATCTGCACCTAAAAACTGGTCTCAGTTCAGCATCTGTCAGTCAGCAGCAGCGTGATGAGTCTTTATGGCAGTGTCTCAGGCTCAGCGGTGTGACTGCTGAGAGGAGAGATAAGAGGTTAAGAAAGGGCTGAATTTGTGCGCTGTAAGCAGAGGGGAGCTTTGAGAAGGGTTTGAACTGATGGTTGTCTTTTGTAGATGCTGTCGGGATGGGTCAATCCTCTCCTCTCTGTCTCTCCCTCATACTCTTTCTTCTCCCCCGTGGGTTACAAGCCCTCCTCTGCTCTGCCCTGAGTGAAACACACATCTGTCTCTGTTGTGCACTGTTTTTGAACTCCGTTTGTACTTGCCTTCAAGAAAAAAAGAAAAGATGTGCAATGTTAAAATTCTGACCAGTATTTTTTATTTATTCATAAAGAAAGTATTCATTTATTTTTTTTATTTTATGGCTGATCACCAATAAATGGCATGGCAGATATCAAAATGTAAGACTATTTTGTCTAAATGAGTTCAAAGTAAAACACTAAAAACTAAAATAAATTAATTTAAGTGCTACAAGTCAGTGTAGGCATCACAACATGATAATGTACAGTATATGAAAAATGGATATTAATTTTGAGTTTGGCTGAAGAGTAGGCTAGTGTTGTTAATAAGTGTTTTGAAAAAATTATAAGTGAGCGTGAGATGACGGTAAATGTGTTTATATGTAAAAACTGAGTAGCACAATTAATTATGTAATACTTATAGTGATAAATTATAAAAATGTTTAATAGCAGACGATTACTGATATGGTACTGATTAGAGCCCGACCGATATGGGTTTTTTGGGACCGATACCGATATTAGGGGGTTTGATATCGGCCGATAATATCGGCAAAACGATATATCGGTCGGGCTCTAGTACTGATATATATATTGTGCATCCCTGAAAAAAATCATGTAGATAGATCTTCCAATGCAACTTCCTGTTTGCATTCATCCTGCATGGCAAGTATTAAAAATGAATTGATTGAGGATGTTAACATTTAAAGATATTTTCCAAACATTTAGCCCATTTCTTAGTTTTCACTTTATTTCCTAGATTTGTTCTTGGTGTAATATGCTTTGGGTGTTACAATAATTTGGCACCAGTGTTTCATAATAGCAACTGATGTTCTCAGAAAACTTGTGCAAGATCATTTGGCTGTTATTCAATAAGCAATAAAGGCATCATTTTATTGAGATATTTAGGTGGCATTCTTCTTTAGCCATGCATAGTTTTACTTTAAAGATATTTGTTTTTGTTGGAAAATCCAGGTAAAACCTGATTCTGATGGTAGTTAGTTGGATAGTTTCTAGTGGGTCCAAGCTGGTCATTAATGGCCCTCCTTAGATGGTCCAAGTTAGTGTAGATGGTTGGTAGGACTGATGGGTGATCTGGTAGACCACCTTGTTCCATCAACAAACCAGCTGCTATATTCCAAAAATCCATTTAAGATGGTATGAAATGGGTTTTCCTCACACAGAACAGAATGTTTTTGTCTTATGTTTATTTACTGAAACATTTCTGTCCTGTTGAAAACATTACCGTAGCATGACTAGCAGTTTGTTGGAATACCGCAATGACCTTTGAATTAAATGCAGTCTTATTTATACCTCCATTTTGCTGCAATCCATCACAGAATTACAAAGTCTGGCCGCCTTTTGTTTCTTCACCTTTTAAGCAGAATGCAGTGTGAGATTCTAATGCTTCGAATAGCTGAAATCCACTGCATTCCAATTAGAGTGCAGTCAGATTCAGCATCTACAATGAAAAGATTATCCAGTGTTCCCTGTTTAATGAGACAGACATTTCAGCAGTTCTGATCATCACTCAGCCTCTGGCTGACTTTCTGATAGAGTCTGAGTGAGCAGTGGGCTCAAGAATTACCTCATTCTGAGCTTTTTGCATCACTCTGTCCTTTCTTTGTGCCATAGTTTCATGATAATGGTCTCTGGACATAATTCTGTTCTACACTATTCCAGACAAACATTTAGTTCAGTTTTTTTTCCCTAATGATCCCTGGACAGAATAGTATTCTATTCTATTCTATTCTATTCTATTCTATTCTAGACACAAACATTTAATGTTCAGTTTTATGTTAATGATACCTGGACAAAAAAGTATTCTATTCTATTCTATTACAGACAAAAAATGATTTAATGCTAATGAAATCTGGACGGTATTCTATTCTATTCTATTCTACAACAAAAATGGAAACTTTAAAAAGCCCTGAGATTACTTTGAGTGCAGTTTTCTTTTGTGTTTTGTGACATATTTACTATTTTAGTAAGGAAGTTTAATTACATCATAGTCATGAACCATGATTTGCTGCTGGCTAGTAAAGAGTAGTTTCACTAGCATATTGATAACCTCAAAACAAAGACATGGACTAAAAGCCACAAATATCTTAAGAAAGCTCTTTTAGGATTGAAATTCTATACACCTTTTTTGTTGGCATTAGTTTAAGATGCAGTTTAGGTTGAGTTGGGTCTATATTTTAGTTTTGGTATTTCTGGTGTCAGTCTTGTGTCAGGTTTAGTATTTTGCTTAGCTGCAATTTTCTGTTTTTTTCTATTTAGTTTTGTTTGTTCTGTGTCAGTAGTTATTTCAGATGAAGTTATAAATAAATTCCCATAAACATCCAATCTTTTCTAATGATTTAATTGTAGTTGAATGTGTAGATTAGCAGTGTAGTTGACAGCTAGAGGGCCCTCTAAACACACAATGGAACACATGCACACACAAGCATGTACTTTAACATACCAGTTTCAGCTCTTTTGTAGAATAGAGATAATTTCTGAAAATGTATAAACTCTAACATGAAACTGTTATTTTTTTGCAGATATTTCAAGGATATCATATTACGCAGGTAAGACAAGCTCTTGTACTCTCTCTCTTCCTCTCTGAAATGGATTTCAAATTGATCGGGGGAAATGACAACCTAACCTTAATCCACCATTTACTGAATGTGAAATGCCCCACACACACACACACACAATTGATTGGCGTCAAGGAAATGTTGTTCAAGTGTAGATGTGTAGTTTACTGGTGCATTCTCAATTCATTCATCATTTTCTGAGGAATTGCAACATTGTCCAAACACACTCTGGATGCCCCACCAATCAGCTAATGTTTCATATTTTTAACCTTGATTCTTTCCATCGCCAAGGGCATTACTGTTGGAAGGAAGGAGGGCCTTTTTAAACAGTAGGGTTCCTGTTTGTCTGTGTGGCATCTATGGAGACCATTATTAAACACAAAATGGGGCCTATTAGCTGATATTTGAGAATACGGTTAATATAGCAGGAAGTGACCTGTTTGCCCTCACTATAGGGAATGAGTGCTTGGAATGGTAATGAATATCTCTGGCAAACATGGCAAGATGAAACTGTTAAATAACAGCAAATCATTTTCTGCGTTATGTTTTGCAATCAGAAGTAAGTTATGACTCTGATTATAAGCACAAAATAACGCACAAATCTACTGGTATGATTTAACAGTTCTTCCTGTATTAAAGGGGTCATATGATGCGATTTCAAGTTTTAATTTCTCTTTGGAGTGTGAGGGGAACAGGGAGAGTGAACTGCCTGTCAGAAATCATAGCACGTCAGCTGTCTTAACCGCGGCTTGTGTACTGCATCATCACTGTGTCTGTCACGCGACTCTGTTGCCCTTTCGGGCTTGAACTGATGGTAAAACTAACGACATTATGAACTGTCTTGATATTTACTTTGAAAGCTGACGCTCGCGATTATGGTAAGGGGCGTTACATTTCCGACGCGTGCTTGTGGTGTTCGGCCAATCACAATGCACTGGGTCAGCTGGCCAATCAGAGCAGACTGCGCTTGTCAAAGGAGGGGGCTTTGTTGAAAACGACGTGTTTGAGAGAGGCGGGGCATAGAGGACCTACAATAATGTACAGTATTTGAAAAATAATGTTTTTTGAACATTAAAGCATGTCAGCATATTCTGTTACAGCAAATACACAAAATAATGATCTTTAAAATAGCATCATATGACCCCTTTAAGACCTTTGTGTGTGGTGCATGACTATTTATCAAAAAAAAAGTATATTTTATATAATTGTATTTTTATATAGGTTCAGTACTTTCTTCAAATTCTAAGTGATACTGTAACAATCTCACTTGCTCTTTGTCTGACTCTATTTCTGCTTTATATTTCAACCTATTTTAGCAAAACTTTAATATAGACAGATTGCAATGTTATTACAGACTGAATTATAGTAAATCTCTTATGTAATTTCCCATAGATAGAGTAAACTAGACAGAACAAGGACTTAACTGTAGATACTAAGCTGAAATGGCATGTTTGGGATTACACAAAAATGCTGAAATATTTCTTCAGTACATTGCCAAAGTACCTTATAGACCAATTTCTTCATGTTCATCAGCATAAATAATTATGCAAGTTATGCAAATCGCAAAGGCTGATGATGCACTCATTTACTAAATAAACTTTAGCTTCATTTGCAGTGATGTTTCATCGTTTATTTATGTGCATCTCTGCAAGTATGGGCTGTTGTCAAAAACAGGAAACGGACTTCCTTCCTTCCTTGAGCCTTTGTCAGGTAGCTGACGGACATTCCTTCAGTCCCTCTCCACATGAATCTCCGCGAGCAGCCCACAGATGTCCTCTTAGTGAAGCATAGAAACACTTCTACCATCATTCATAAGGTGATTAGGGGTTCTTAGAAACAATAATGCTTTGTATTTAAATATGCAACACAATCCCGAGAATGTAAACAGAAGCCGGACCGCCCAGCTGAATAATCCTGGTCAAACCCACACCCTGAAAAACCTGATCGGCCGCTTCTTTTGGCTCAGTGGTCTGTGTTTTGTAAACATGAGCTGGTCAGCCAGTAGCAGTTGGTTTCACGGAACTCATTAGCATATTTAAAGAGGCCCCTCCTCTTATTTCTGTTGGCCTGATTCTTTCTCTCTCTCTCATCCCTCCCTCGTAAGCACACCTTCTCTCCTGACACACTCTGCCGGATTGTGAAAATTACACACGCCGTCACCGCAGCGTCTCTCTGGATGAACTTTAGAAAGGCAGCTAAAATGAAGCGTTTTAGTATGTGAGGATTATACTTGTCAACATTTCTGATTTTGTTCCAGCCTTGCCTGCTGCATCCATTCTTTGGATTACTCTAGACAGCTGTGGGATTTCCCTGTCACTTCTGGATCTTTTTCCACTGCTCTTGCTGGTGGTTTTCAAAAAGCGCTGCTGAGGGAAACGAGACCGGCACGCCTCACGTTTTCGCATATCTACCTGCCATCCTCATTCCTGTAACCACACAGCCTAGCTGATCACTTATTATTTTCGCACTCCTGGATTAGCGCTTCGGTCAGCTGACCAATCACCTTCCTGCGACCTCACACCACGCCTCATCCCAGGCCTCTGAGGGCCATCCCCGGTGGCCTGGTTACAGTGCGTTGCGGTGGGCCGGGGTCACCCCCTGCTCCCTATGACTGTGCCAGGGAGTTGGAGAGCCGCTGGGCCTGGGAGAGAGACGAGAGCGGAGGCCAGCGGATGGAGAGCAGCGGCTGCAGTCCCTTCCCTCTGTGCTGGGCACGAGGAGCCTGCGTCTACTCCTCCTACCCTCCCCCTCTGCCAAGTATGTCACCCAGATACAGCACTGCAACCCGTTTCCAGAAAACCTCCATGATACCATTTCACACTCGATCTGTCTTACAGGATGTGGTATATTGATTTAATGGTGGTTTAGGAGAAATGAAAGGTGTGGGAGCTCCGATATGACCTCTCTGTGGGTTTCGTCTCTAGATTTCTGCTGCAGTCCTTTATGGTTATGTTGAATTGGGGTTACTTTCATATCTCGGCAGATGACTGCTAGCACATGATCTGTATTAGTAGGGCTGTTGTGTTACAATTCTACATACAATCCAACATCTATCATGTTTGGTGAAGAATCATGATGGTCAGGTTATTAATTTTTAATCACTGTGCCGTATCATACCACCATATAGAAAATATTATTTTATCATATGGATTACACTACCATTTAAAAGTTTTGGGGTCGATAAGATTTTTAAAATATTTATTTATTTATATTTATAAAGTATATATTTCTCTTATGCTCACCAGAGCTGCATTTAGATGATCAAAAATTAAGTAACAGTAATTTTGTGAAATATTATTACCATTTAAAATGTTTACTATATGAATATACAGTGGTGTGAAATCTTTCTCATTTGTTTCTGAATTTCTTTGGATCTCGGCATGATGTCTAGCTTTTGAGGATCTTTTGGTCTACTTCACTTTGTCAGGCAGGTCCTATTTAAGAGATTTCTTGATTGCGAACAGGTGTGGCAGTAATCAGGCCTGGGTGTGGCTAGAGAAATTGAACTCAGGTGTGATAAACCACAGTTTTAACAGGGGGGCAAACACTTCTTCACACAGGGCCATGTAGTTTTGGATTTTGTTTTCCCTTAATAATAAAAACCTTCATTTAAAAACTGCATGTTGTGTTCACTTGTGTTACCTTTTACTAGTGATTAAAGTGTGACAAACATGCAAAAAAATAAGAAATCAGGAAGGGGGCCAACACTTTTTCACACCACTGTATTTTAAAATGTAATTTATTCCTTTGGCAGAACTGAATTTTCAGAAGCCATTACTCCAGTCTTTGGTGTCACATGATCCTATAGAAATCATTCTAAATAGGCTGATTTGGTGCTCCAGAAACATTTTTGATTATTATTAAAGTTGTAAACAGTTGTGCTGCTTAATATTTTTGTGTAAACCATGGTACATTTTTTAGGATTCTTTGATGAATAGAAATTTCAATAGAACAGCATTATTAAAAATCTTTTGTAACATTATACATATTGTTACTTTCAGATTTGATCAATTTAATTCATCCTTGCTGAATAAACATATTAATAAAAACAAAAAAAAACCCACACACTATTTGACTTACCTCAAACGTTTGATGGTAGTATAGTACCAATCCATTACGCTGCATATGTGACCCTGGACCACAAAACCAGTCTTAAGTCGCTGGGGTATATTTGTAGCAATAGCCAAAAATACAT